TGCCTTCACTGCCAGAAGATGGGGCCTCGCGGTATACTTTTTACAACACCGGGCCCGGCCGGATGAACGTCAGCACGGCACGCAACGGGCATCAAAACAATAACAACGGCCCTGGCAACCTGTTTGCTGGATCGGTCCATGGGTTCCAAATGTCTCCTCCGAAGCCATACAAGTAGCAGGCACTACGGCGAGGGCATTGTGGGCTACGTAGATCTTCTTCCCCTTGCACAATACTGTAGAGCCGGAACACAACATGAGCAATACACCGCGTCCTCGTGCTCATAGCAACGCGTTCTATTTCCCGATGCTGTTCTTTCCTCGGCCTCGTCCTTATCTCATGCCCTTGTCGGCCAGCAGGCAGGCAATCGCCGGCTGACCCATCACATCAAGTTTCGGCTTGGCCGAAACCTGGCCAACAGGGGAACTCGACTGCGATGGGTAGAGATGCCCGTGGATGTTTTTTTGATTTTTTTTGAGAAGCTTGCATCGTGGAGGGCGTCTATGACGGGATTTCAGGTATCAGCCCTGAATATTGTGCTTCACAGTGCAGAAGATATAGCTCGAGGAGAACAAGATATGCGTGGAATGTATAGGTGCAATAACGCGCCTAGTCTGACACGTATCGCCCCCAACACCGCCTTTGCAACCGACGCCGCCGTCGCCGCCGCAAATGGCTGCCACTCTTGATTCTTGTGGCTGTCGGCGTAGTCGCAAACCCCTTTGACCACGATGCACGGAACTTCATCCCACGCGCCGGCCCCTTCCATTTCGAATGCTATCACTTTGTACTGCTGAGCGATTCGGTCACGGTGCTCGCCAGACTTCATCACGGTGTCTCCGGATATGATTCGGCCGATATGGACTCGAGGGCGTTGCATGTCGTCCGGCGTCATCCTGCGCTTCTTTTCCAGGCTCTGCCGGGATACCGTCTGGTTCTCATCGCAATGGAGGTCGGCACAGGACGCCTGCACGGCTTCCTCGCAGAACCCGCCTGACTCCCCAACGCAAATGGCGCACGCCTGTGGCAGATGGTGTTTGTGTTGATAATCCGGCGGAAACAGCTTGTCTTTGGCCACCCCGGGATATCGGTAGTCCTGAGAATAGCCTTCGCGCGCTGCCGCAGACTGCAGCGTTTTCAAATACTCGCTAGCTTTTTTCTGGAGGCTCTTTCGTCCCAGTTCCGTCTCAAAGCTGGTGACTAGAGTCCGAAGATCCCTGTTCATTCTCCCGAGGCTATCGTCGATGGTATCTTTAAGCACATACGCATCGCGGTACTGCTTGCCTACGCTGTGCTGGACCGTCTTGCTAATGACAACATCACCTAGTAGTACCTCGTTTCCGCCCGTGCCTGGGACACCACCGCAGACCCCGACAATCAAGGCAAGTCGTAGACAGGGGAAGCTCGAGCGGACGCCGGCCGCTGCCCCAGCAGCGGCAGCCGTGCCCATGTTGGGGAGTAGTGCCAGCGCGACGTTGTGTTTTCCGATGCGGCCGGTCGTGTATGTATTCAGGTCTCCCGGTGCGCGCCCGTACACCGCACCCTCCTCCTCCCAAAGCTGATCAAACAGGAGAGACACGGCATCAAACTCGAGAGCCAAGGCACATATGATGGCGATGCGGAAGTCTTCGCGACGGGAAGGCTGTTGGTGGCTCGACGCGCGCGTGTTAGCCGCTTCGGCATCGGGAATCTGGCCGCCGGCTATGTCGATCAGCAATTGGTGATAAAACGCATGTTCTATAGGTCCCTTGTATCATACCACCGTGGCTGCCGTAATTCCATTGCCTGCCAGACCCATTGTTGTTGTACTGCGCTCCGCCCGTTGCGGCATTCAGGACCCCGGAGCCACCATTAGTGATGGTGGTGTTTGAAGGCATGGCTTGCGCCTTTTGGACAGCGAAGCAAGAGTAGAAACAGCAAACGAGCTGGACGTCGAGACTCCGGAAGAAGCCCGACGTACTGATAATGCATTACCCTTGCCCGGCTCGTACCCTTGTTGGTCTCCCTTCTTTCGAAGCACCTATGGCCCACTAAGAGGGGACGGTAAGCGCCAGGATGCGCGTGGAATACGGGGGTCAATCTCTCTCAATTCATGTTGCCTTTTCATCCACATCCTTCTGTATCGCAGCTGCGTCTGTTTCTACCTGTTGATTAGAAGCGGCTTCCGCGTTACGACGGCAGAGGCCCCGCTCGTCATGCCGGGCAACTTCAGCAATAGTGGCTATGGGGTTCTGAATGCAGCCCTGGACGGAGGAACACAGTACAACAATAACGACGGCGGCAACCAATACAACTTTGAGACTCAAAGAATCGAGACTCAGAACATCGGGACTCAGAACATCGGGACCCACCACCACCATCCCGAGAAGGGTAAGGCGATAGAACACATGGGCACGTTTATAACCAAGCACATCGCTGATCTCACAGGACACACCCTCAGATCCGTCGCGTCGACTGAACCATAGTAAATGCATTCCATTCGACTGCGACCCGGATTTTGTCGACCGTGATGGCCTTCTCGACTGGGTTCGTCGCACAGCCGAGAGCCCTCCGCATCGTGTAGCCCTCTTTGGCATGGGAGGCATTGGGTATGAAACATCATCCTCTACTGGTTTGGAAGTGACTAACACGACTGCAGCAAATCGCATGTAGCTCTTGAATACGTTCATTCGCTCTCCAAATCCGATCCCAAGGGTTCACCTCCCACCTGGGTCTTTTGGGTCAGGGCGACTACGCGCGCGCACATACTAGCAGACTTTGCCAAGATCGCAGGCGTAGTCAAGCTACCAGGTCGAGATGAAGCCGGGGTCGACATACTCAGTCTGGTTTGCAACTGGCTTGGCGAAGAAGAGAACAGCCCTTGGGTCATGGTGTTTGACGGTGCTGACGACGCCGAATCTTTCTCTGCCGAACATTCATCACCAGAAAGCGCGCCGTTGAGAGACCTACTGCGATACAGAACATACGGATCGATCATCATCACCACACGAGACAGGGAAGTAGCCAAAAATCTCTTTATGCACGACGATAGGCGCTGTATTATCGAGGTCAAGGCCATGTCGCAAGCCCACGCCATAGCGCTCCTGGGAAGAAAGATGAAAATGACTTCAACCAGGGAAGAGATCGTTGCGAAGCAGAGAGAGCTCGTCGATAAACTCGACAGGATTCCTCTTGCCATCACCCAGGCTGCAAGCTACATAACAGAGGAGCTTGAAGACGAGGCGATGACATCAGACCCTTGCGAGACGATGTCAACGTACCTGGACGAACTGCGCCAGCTCCGAAAGGTTATAGTCCTCTATGATGGGGGGAATCCAAGGCGGTATGAGAAAGATAACTCCGTTTTCATCACCTGGCAAAAATCATTCGACCGCATTCAACAGCGGAACCCAGTTGCGGCAGATTTACTCTGTTCCATGAGTTTCTTCGATCGAAGCGCCATGGACCAATCTGACGTTGAGTCTATGACGGAGAGAGAACCCGGACAAGCTGAAATGGTCCAGAGGGGGCTCGAAGAAGCCAGCGCCAAGGAAAACGGCAATGCCAATGGCTTTGAAACTACGACTTCTACGCAACGCAACGCAAAACCTTTCTCTATCTTGATTGCCTACAGCCTTGTCAAGAAAGAGGCAAAGGTGGATAAATCGGTGTACACAATGCACCGACTAGTCCAAAAAGCAACTCGGTATTGGCTCGAAGTCAAAGGCCGTCTCGATCCCATCCAAGCACGACATATTCAACGACTAGCGAAGCGATTCCCCGAACCAAGATTCCACAACTGGGAGGCTTGCGGGAGGCTTTATCTTCATGCCAAAGTGCTGATGCATCACAAACCGAAGCCCGAATACACTGAAGCGCTGCAGGACTGGGCACGGGTCCTCTGTAGGGCCGGTGACTACGCTGTTCAAAAGGCCATCTCAGTCGCAGATTCAGAAGTTTTGCAGAGAGAAGCGATGGATACTATGGAGAAGACACTTGGAAGAGACCACCGGGAGACGTTGGATAGTGGCAGCTCCCTTGCGCGGACATTGGCAGCAAAGGGTGACCTTGCAGGTGCGGAGTTGTTGTACCGCGAAATCTACAAGACGAGCATAAGAGGACTGGGAGAAAGTGACCGTGATACGTTGTCGGCCATGGGCAACCTGGCCAACATATGCATCCTGAGGCGCAACTACGAAGAGGCGGAGAGGCTCGTCAAGAATGCCATGAAGTTGGGAGAGACTAGCTTGGACGACAATCATCCCGATGTCCTGAACAGGGAGGCCACCTTGACTAATATATACGTGGGGACGATGAGATATGATGAGGCAAAAGACCAGGCCGAGCGGATTGCGCGCCAACACAAGAGCCGCCATGGTCCAGAGCACCCCGACACAATCGCCAGCGATGCCAACGTGGCGTCGACATACGCCATGGTTGGTCTGTTTTACGAGGCAGAAGAACTGCAAAAGGAAATCGTCGAGAGGTCACAGAGGAGCCTAGGAGAGAAACACCGCGAGACATTGGTCTACATGGCGAACTTGGCATATTTCACGTTATCAACGCGACGAATGCGAGAGGTCGTCAAGTTGTCAGCAGAGGTACTTGGCGAGGACCACCACACTACTGTCTCTCGTGCAGAAGTGCTCGGATTAATGGAAAGAGCGGGAATGTTCGCCAGCGTCCGTTGGTTTTGTGCAGTCAGGGCTGCAAAACTGCAGCGAATAAGTCAAGACAACCCGGCTGTATCAAACTGTATACTGGTTTCGATGGTCGTCGCTTATTCTAGCTGGGTGTATTTGAAATTTTTAAGGTAGGATCGAATGAATGGGAGTGAAAGACGTATAGGAGCTCGTGATAACAGGTGTAATAGGTGACGAAAGATTGAATCCGCCTCCCCTAGCCTCTGAGGCTCTAGAAAAGCCGGCTGCGTCGTATAAGTCGACCCGATGTTCGCCGGCACACGTCGAACATCGTCGTCGCCCACCCGAGCAAAAGCGTCACAGGCCCCAAAAACAAAAAACATACAACACCAGGGATTCGCTGATCGTCACCGACTCAGCTACTAGTCCGGCCCTCACTAGCTTATCTAAGGGAGAGCGGACGGGATCCCGAGTTTTCCAGTGGGTATGGTCGTATGTGCTATGGATCGGTGTCAAAGATGCTTATAGCAGCTCGGTAGGTGACGGCCAGCTCGAAGCATGCACACCAACCATGTCGTCCGACACCAGGTTCCTATCAATGTTCATCACGATACTCATTTTAAATAAGAATTTCTGTTCCTTCAAAACGTGCTCGATGTGATTACTGCGACAAAATGACAGATCCCTCCGCGTACTATACTCTTATGGGGTGTTGGAGGTCTGCGGCAATATTGTTGATGTTTGCGGCGTAGAGGAGAGTTCGACCTTGTTCGTGACCTCGTTAAACTGGCCAACCCCGGCCCGAAGCTCATGCTCGTTGAGGATTTGTCGCAGCGAGATAGGTCTGACGACGTCTGTCGAGAGTCCCAGCTGGCGTATCGCATCGCCATGGCTTCGGATGACACCTGGATCGACCGAGGAGCTCTGAACAACGACCCTGCCGTGGTGATGCCGGAGTGCGACCGCATCCCAAGCTTTCTTAACCGTATACCCCAGAGCCAGCTCGAATGTCCCCCGTACCGTGATGATGGCTGATTGACCATCCCGGGCCTTCTGGTAGCGGAACAGCATCGCTATGCCCTCTCTGCCGTTCCACAGTTCCAGCGTCTCGAGCCTTGGCATCTTTAGCGCAGCAGCCGCAGCGTCTCGTAGCATGCTGTTGATGTCCGCAACGTGGGTATTGTCAGTGAGTAGCCTCGAAGTCAGCGCTAGGCACGTGAGGTTTTCCCACTTCCATGAACCTTTGCGCGCTTCGAAGAAGTAACTGGCGTCGATCATGAAAGAGGCTGACAGCGTCGCGAGTTGCAGACTGGCTCTCGCAAGTTTGTGGCTTACGGCAGGAGTCGGCACCCTGATGGCGGGGCACTCAAAACATTGTCGCGGGTACGACTGGTTGAAGTTTTCGAAAATCGTCAACTTCGATAGTTTTGTCTGGGGAATCAGTTCGATCAGGGTCTGGTTGCCTGTGTCACGATCGGGGTTGGTCAGCAGTCGCAGCCAGAATGTCAGTTACAATACTTACGTTTATCAGTATGCATTTGTATGCCGTCCCACTCTCTCCAAGGCTCGTAACAAAGCTCCTTCATATTAGGGAAGCGCGTGAGCATGTTCGCGAGGGCGACTGGCTTCCAACGACGGCGGGTTTGCTGACGAAGGAGCACAACCGCAATCGCGGGGACGAGGGGTAGTGTCTGCCACCACTGCATCTCCGGTCCCTCGTCCTCAAATGGTCCCTCGGCCATGATCTCATCGAATACCTTTTCAATACCGAACTGTTTAGGAGCAACTCTTTGCTGTCCAGCAAACCAGCCGTGAGCTGGGTCGTGAATCGGGATCCCTTGCTCATGTCCGTTGCGCTGGAGCGGTGAAAGCTTGCCGAGGTAGGTATCTGGGTGGAAGCTCAGGTACTTGAACCAGTGCTGTTTATCGCTTGGCGAGTAAACACTGATGTCGAGAACCAAGTTGTCACGAGGCTCCCATGTGCTGAGGGTCGAGAACAAGCTCTGAAAAGCCTCCGCGATGAATGTGTTATCAACATTGTCCAATCCCCAATGCTCTCGGTCATCTGGTGCGCACAGTCCACAATCGTACTGCTTCAGTTCCACACGAAACCATATGTAACGGATCTGGCTTCTCTTGCGGAAGAGAATAGCTTCAGACTTGGGGTTGGAGAGGCGTGGTACGGTCAGGCTGATCTCAGCAAAATTGAGCGGCTCAATGACCGAATGCCATTCTCGCGAAACGGTAGCAAGGAGGCTGCAAGCACCGCCAAGACTCGGCAGGATGCTAAGCACATTGTACCGAATCTCGGGAGGTAGACGAACCCAAGAAGTACTGTCCTTAGACATCTCTGATTAGTATCGGCGAGAAATATCGTGGTTTGTAAGGAGGATAGAATGAGGTTTGAAAGTAGTTGAAGAGCTTGGAGAATCCACACGTTGGCTTCGTTCAAGCTGCCACCAAGGTCGTAAAACTTTTGCAGTTGAGTCACCTGCATAACGACGCCACTAACGTATTAAAGACAGCTTTACCCAAGGACCCCCAGAAGCTTACACACAACTTTGATGCGACCAGACGTGTACAAAAGCCTAACTACCTACAAGCTGTACTTTCGTCTTATGCCGTATCTATTACACTAACGGTCTTACCCTAAAGAGTCTTCTAGCGTCAAGGTGTCCTCAAGGAGCATTGTCCTCAACCCGTGGCGTCTGCCGCAGCCCTGCGATCATTATGCAGATCCACTGCGTACAGGCACGTTTACCGAATCGACTAGGCTTAGGGCCGTTAATAAGAAGACGTCTTTCTTCCTGTTCACGACTGATCCAAGGCGTAACGTGACCATCTGTAGTCCAAGGCTTCCACAAATGGACAAAGGTGGTTAAAAACGCGCTTGAGGATGAAAGCGTATCAAGTGTATCCTAAGGCAGCAAAGACTATTGATGAACTTGATAGTTTATCTCGGCCTGCCGATTTGAGGTACTTCGGAGACGTCATGTATGCTGCTGCTCTGGCCATTGGGGGGATGGATGTGATGAAGTCTCAAAGATAGGTAGCTTGTGCGAGGTCGGGCTGACGGCGGTAGGGTTATGCCGGATTCGGACCAGATTGGCCGGGTGGTTGTTTAACGGCGGCGCGTCGTACCCGGGGAACGTCACAGCGGACGTCAATCTCGGAAGAGGCTAGGGCCGAATGAATCGGAACTCGGGGGTCTTGGCGGTGCGCCCGAGTGCGGGTTCAACTAGGCTGTGGAGGCGCTGTGGCGTAAGCAGTTATGTGACCTCGGTCTCTGCCCTCCTCAGCCACCTATCCTCCCAGTGCTGTGCCGCTGTGCCGTGACACGACGACCGTCCAGAAGCACGTATGTACTATCTCAGGTCAAGGGCTTCTTTTTGCTTCGTACAACCTATCAATGTAGTAGATGTTCGCAAGGGCCACTGATTCCTAGGCTTAAGAATTGACGCCCGTCATAAATGGTTCTTCTGCGGATAGTACGAATTCCTCGTTATGTGGGTGCAATCACAACCAGATGCCAAGTCAGTTGGTCGAAATAGAAGCATGAGGTGAAGCGCGTTTTCATGCCCATCTCCTTGATCTGTAATGACTGGAAAATTCTTTCCTAATCTGAGAATGGGCATCAAACCATAAGATATAGACTTATCGGCGGTCGACCGATTTCTGGATACAGGGGTGGAGTCATGCTAGCTTGAGGTGTACAAGTCAAGGTGCTCACCTATAGGTACGTTAGACATTGAAGCGTAAAGTATGCTTCTGTGCCCTTTCTGTGAATCACTCTCAACGTTCTCAAACCCGATCATGGAGTGACCCAGACTCCAGCAATACCATCATGACGTACAGTATAAAGCGGCGTCCGACACGCCTAGCCAGTTACGTTTCGCGAATTAGCACTCGTCAAGGGAGACGACGCGACCTCACGTGAATGGCTCGTGGAGTGGGGCCGGGGAGAGAGCACTGACATGCCGGCCCGCCAATGGACGCAAGAAGCTCCAGCAGAGCTCCCCCGTCTCCTTGGACGAAAAGGAAAGTCCCGGCAGCAAAAAAATTTCGAGGATTCTGGCACCCATCAGACGATACCTCTCCGAACCTCATCCTCCCCTCCCCCCTACAAACCAGCCACCACAGCCGTTGTCGACAACGAGCATCCCATCGTCCATCTCCTCTCTGTTCCTTCTTCTCCCCTTCTACTGTACTATTTAATATCCACAACCCTCACAATGTCCGCGTCTCTCAGATCTGTTGCGCCGTTCCTCCGGACGGCGCGCGCCTCGCTGCGCCAGGGCAATGTTAGCCCCCTTCAGGCCGCCCTGAAGAGACAGAACGTCTCCCCCATCCTTAACGTCTACCGCACATACGCCGTCTACGAGCGGACAAAGCCTCACGTCAACATTGGTATGTGCAGTCGCCGGTGACCTACGTCGCACGCCGTTGCTAATCAGGGTTGCTGCACAGGTACTATTGGCCACGTCGATCACGGAAAGGTACTCATCGAGATTTGCATCTGCGCCATTGCGCGACAAGAGCTGACCCCAGTGTACAGACCACTCTGTCCGCCGCCATCACCAAGAGGCAGGCCGAGAAGGGCCTCGCCAACTTCCTCGACTATGGTGCCATTGACAAGGCTCCCGAGGAGCGCAAGCGTGGTATCACCATCTCTACCGCCCACATCGAGTACGCCACCGACAACCGCCACTACTCCCACGTTGACTGCCCCGGCCACGCCGACTACATCAAGAACATGATTACCGGTGCCGCCAACATGGATGGTGCCATCATCGTTGTCGCCGCCTCCGACGGCCAGATGCCCCAGACCCGTGAGCACTTGCTGCTCGCCCGCCAGGTTGGTGTCCAGAAGATTGTCGTCTTCGTCAACAAGGTCGACGCCATCGACGACCCCGAGATGTTGGAGCTCGTCGAGATGGAGATGCGTGAGCTCCTGAGCACCTACGGCTTCGAGGGTGACGAGACCCCCGTCATCATGGGTTCCGCCCTCATGGCCCTCAACAACCAGAGAAACGAGATCGGCAACGACAAGATCGACGAGCTCCTTAAGGCCGTCGATGAGTGGATCCCCACCCCTACCCGCGACCTCGAGAAGCCCTTCCTCATGTCCGTCGAGGACGTCTTCTCCATCTCCGGCCGTGGTACCGTCGTTAGTGGCCGTGTCGAGCGTGGTCTCCTGAAGAAGGACTCCGAGATCGAGATTGTCGGCAAGGGCGACGAGATCATCAAGTCCAAGGTCACCGACATTGAGACCTTCAAGAAGTCCTGCGACGAGTCCCGCGCCGGTGACAACTCCGGTCTCCTCCTCCGCGGTGTCAAGCGTGAGGACATCCGCCGTGGCATGGTCGTCTGCAAGCCCGGCACCGTCAAGGCCCACTCCAGCTTCCTGGTCTCTCTCTACGTCCTCTCCAAGGACGAGGGTGGCCGCCACACTGGCTTCCACGAGAACTACAAGCCCCAGATGTACCTTCGTACCGC